AATTGACACAAACATGCACATCTACAAATGCCAAAGCTTTTTCTGATGGAGACTTATTAATACATTTTATCAAATTTTTTACTGGACTGGAGAGCTTTTAGATACTGAAACTAATCAACCTGTTTTCCATTGGTTGATTTGCTCAGGACAATCTAACTCTTATTCCTCTCAACTGTAACTTAACTAGCATCCAATTACTGTATTTTCCGGCGTATAAGACGACCCGGCATATAAGACGACCCCCCATTTTCCAGTCAAAATATAGAGTTTTAGCACCTCTATCCTCTTTATCCTTATACCCGGTGTATAAGATGACCCCCCACTTTAACAACGGATTTTGCAGGTTAAAAAGTAGTCTTATATGCAGGAAAATAAGGTAAGTGCTTTCCAACAAACATTTATAAACTAGACTTGTTATTTTCAGTTTCTCTGACGATATGATTAATGTTTCCAAACCATTTGTAATGGCATCTTCAGTATAGTCTGTTGATGTTCCCGTCAACATCTACATAATAATTTATGTATTGACATAATACTCTACACTGAATGCCAAGTGTAAATTGGCAGTATATATCTGCCAATGCATATATTTCTATCTACTATCTCATAATCTTTGATACTTGGTATGTGTATTCTACATTTACTGTTCAAACAGCACATTTCACTATGTATTTTCCACTTGTAAGCTGCAATGTTTATCTGGTTGAGTTTAAGGCAAGTAGTGACATGTGAATGTTGACAATTTTAGAAAAATGTTGTGAGTTCTTAAGCCTAATTAACCAGTGACTATAGATAATCATGTTAATGTAAATGCATTGTTAAAATATACCTGTTTGGGAGCCCTGGTATCAATATTCATGTTATTTACCAAAACGTGAGGTTTTCACTGAAACAGGGGACACACACACACACACAAACACATGCATCCATAGTAGCACCAGAGGTTAACCATTTAATAACAGAATTAATGTGTAATCACTCTTAGCCAAAGTACCTTTCTTTACCTCCACTCTCAAGTGTTCAGTCTTATCATTGTTCATGCCCATGTATGAGGGAATATTTCAGGTCTCCTCTCTCTGCTTTTTAGATGAAATGTATTTGCTGTTGGTATCTTTGCATTTTCATATCTGATTGTTTATGCTTGCAGATCAGTTATACTAATATCTAGCAGTCTTGCAGGAGTTAAAAACTAAAATTTAGCCAGCATCAATAGTTTATTGAAGAAATACTCTTTTTTTTGCTTCATAATTTGCAGAAGGCTGCAAATGTCAGTCATGATGTACTGCCTCTTGAAATTAGTCAATAGAGCAAACAGCAAGAATTGCTGTGGGCAGAAAATAAGCACTGTAATCATGACATAACTGGGGTCAGTGATTTATGGATTTCAATATAGTAGTAGCTGCATATGATTGAAAATTTACTAGGTCACTAGTGCACCAAGAATTTTATTCACAGCCTCCAGGCATCTTTTGAAATGTGCAACAAAATAAAAACCTCTGAACCTGTTTTGACACTGCAGGCTCAGTAGATGACAAGCCTGCCCTGTGAGTTTCATTTAAATGCAAATGTGTCACAAACTTTTGTATTGAAATCCTTTTTAAACAGTTAACATAACAAAAAGAACAGTATAGACAGGATCAGTGAACATATTCTAAACTATGACTGTGAAAATAAAACCATATTTCATAACTGCTTTGTGCTTTTCTTAAGCTGGAAGCTGAAGCAGTTCCAGAAGTATCTGAAAAATATGAAATTACATCTGTTCCAACATTCTTGTTTTTTAAGGTAAAGTATTTTAATTTTTTCATTTGCATGAATGTTTACAAGGGTAAGTTTCATTGTTCCCATTACTGGTAAAATAGTTTATGTGTGTGAGTGGATGGGGTAACACTTGGTGAACTAAAATTACTTTATCACTTAGTCATACAGCTAGGACTTTGTTTAAACCTTCAAGGCTCATATATATAGGAATGTATAGAGAAATGCTTATGTAGTATCAGACCATTTCTGAAATCGAATTTGATCAGTTCTCTGTTAAACAGTGATGTGGAAGTTACCATAGATTGGTTTATAAGGTGATCTGCCTGAAATAAATTCTGCAGATATGCATTTTTAAATTTTAACAAAATTCAGTTAATCACCTGAAGGGATTGATAGTATCCCGTGGTACTGTTGTGTACATATTGATTTGCAAGTCCAGTTAAAATTATTTTGTACACCAGCTGCATTCAGTGGATTTTATCTGTGGCTCTTGAACTCGTTTGGAATTTAACAATAGCATGTTTGCATGTGGTGGAGAGAATTTTAAGCTTCTGGCATCAGTTCTTGTGGGGTTCATAATGTTTACCAAGACTGCTTTTTTTCTGTTGGTAGAATTCTCAAAAAATTGACCGATTAGATGGTGCTCATGCACCAGAACTGACCAAAAAAGTCCAGCGCCATGCATCTAGTGTGACTGTCCCACCTAACTCTAATGACAGTTCTAAAGAGGACCTCAATGCTCGACTCAAGAAGTTGACCAATGCTGCACCTTGCATGCTATTTATGAAGGGAACACCTCAGGAACCTCGTTGTGGTAAGGATTGTTTTGGATTTCTGTTTAATGCAGCAGGACTTAATCTCCAAGGATAAATTGCAAATCATGATGTGTTTTATGCTTTCATAGCTGGTATCTGAGTGGTCTGGTGCTGTGTGGTGCTATTCTGGGGAGCATTATTGTTCAGTCATTTGGCACAAATGGAACCCTTGTCATAGGCCCTAAGTGTAAATTAGTGGCTCTGAAATGTGGGACCCCAGATATTGTTGGACTTCAAGTTGCAGACCTCCCAGCCAGTGAGCTGGCTCTGTCCAGAAGTGCTCAGCTATTTCTGGTTAGTGGGAAATAGAAACCCCACCTATCTCAGGAGTCTTTCCTTTCAGTCGTTTGTATCCTTCCAGGTGTGTTATGTCTACCAAGGGGAACACAGTGCCCCATAGCTTGCTGCTGAACTAGAATAATCTGTTTCAGCTGAGTGGAATAGTTCTAGAGTGAATACAATAAGGATCATACCTTAAGGATTCATTTAGGCTTCTGGCAGAAATATCACTTCATTAGCAGTTTAATAATAATAATAATAATAATAATAATAATAATAATAATAATAATAATAATTTTTATTTATATCCCGCCCCTCTGCAGAGCAATCGGGGCGGCTTACAACATTACAATTTCCATTAAACAAAACAAAAAATCCCAAATCCCACCCATCCTTTAAGAAGTAAGGGTTCTTCTTATTCTAGGCTGGGTGGTGCTGGGCTTAGTGTCTCTCCCCCAGATGACATCAGATGGTAATGGAGGGAGGGCTCTTCTTCTTATTTTAGGCCCGATGGTGCTCGGCCTAGTGTCTCTCCCCCAGATGACATCGGATGGTAATGGAGGGAGGGCTCTTCTTATTTTAGGCCCGATGGTTTGCTTACAAAACTCTGGTATAGTATTTTATATTGGCTTATGGTTACCATCCATTGGTAACAACAACCAAAAGCCCCATCTTCAATCAGTGAACCTAATAAGTTAATAATTTTGTTAAAGGATACATTCATGTTTTGATAGGATAACCAATATTACTTGAAAGCTTGGAATGCTTGCCTTTACTTACTGTTCTCATTTTTCTTTCCTTTTCCTTTTTTGAAAGTGTTTGTAATTAATTGCCTGCAGCATGATTTATCTTAAGCAAAACATGAATGTTCTGTACTGAATGAATACTTTGCTCTGAAGGGGTGCATATGGAACTGGGATGTTGTACAAGCTCAGCTGAGTAAGCTAGTACTGCTTGCACGTGCTATGTGTGTACATTTCCTGCAAGATAGGGGAGGGTATAGATAGAATGGGATCTGCTGGAGGGATCTGAGGGCCTGTATCCAATTATGTCATTGTGCTAGGATTTTCACATTCTCAGAGTTAGTGCAAGAGTGACATCCAGTACCACTTTTGTTGCAAAAATGCTTGTGAAAAAGAGTTGAACAGTCTCTTGCTCAAGTACCTTGTTTGTATAACTGCTTGCCACAATAGTGTGATCCAGCACAACTGCTCAGGCAGTGATGCCACTCTGCTGGCATTATTGGATGTGGTCTGGGTGATTTGTTGTA